ACTTGTGGACTACTCTACTGACTTCTTATACTTTTTTGTTGGTAAGTAAGTTGTGTCACAATATCAGGTGATAAGTAATTGTTTGATTGCTAGTTGATTCAGCACATAAGTCATAAGTCATGTCTCTGTGAGAAAGTACTGATCAATATGAATCCCCAATAATTTGGTTTATGGTAACGAGTCAGGCAGGTTTGGAAACAAACATATTTTGAACTTTATTTCACTTCTTAACTGAATTGGATAATACTTTCATAGTACAGGGAGAAAATTTCCTCAAGGAACATTTTTTCTTGTGATTATAAATGCAACAGAACAGATGTAACCCATTTTTCTATTTAACTTAGATTATTAAAATCTTTGTACTACTCTCTTTAATCTAGAAAAGAAGGTGTATTTTGAATTCTGTGTTTAAATGTACAAATAGTAACTATTTTAGGTTTTTCCCCATATATGCACATCTAGATTCTGCTATTATAGCTGAAAAGTAGCCATTTGCACTCTTAAAACAAATGAGTATAGCTGTACTCTAATAAAACATTATTTACAAAATAAGTGCAAAGAATACTGACTCTATGATCATACCTTCCAACCCCTTAAGCCTCTCACCTAGATACAAAAATCAAACAACTTAGCTCTTGGTTTCTAAGGTTTGCTGATTTCATTATATATTCATTATATATATATATATATATATATATATATTCATTATATATATATATATATATTTGACTATGGTTAACTGTAACCAATCAATAGATCTTTGATCCTATGATATATATGGTGAGCATCATTGTCTGGGTTCTACTGTAAAGATGTCATACACATAAGCAACTTCAAGAGAATAGATAATTGTATGCTATAATAAAATAATTAAGAGGGGCTAAGAAGGTGACTCAGTGGTAGAGTGTTTGCCTTGCATGCATGAAGCCCTGGGTTCGATTCCTTATTACCACATAAGCAGAAAAAGCTAGGAGTGGCGCTGTGGCTCAAGTGGTAGAGCACTAGCCTTGAGATGAAGAACTGAGGGACAGTGCCCAGGCCCAGAGTTCAGGCCCTATAACTGGCAAAAAAAAAAAAAGAACTGCTGGTTTCTGACCATTTATTATTCGTGTTTTTAATGTAAGTTAATTGTTAGCTTTGTAATCTAATGTTAAAATATTATAGTGCAAATTTTTAAAATCTAGCTCCTGTGAGCAAAAACAAGCTGACAGTAATACATCACTGCTGGAGTTAAGAAGTAACCTAATATCTAGGTCCACACCCAGGAAGCTTCCATGGTAACTATGGGATGGAACCATGAAAGACATTAAGTGGGATATTCAGATAACAACAGGAGTGTAGGGGTAGTGTTTTCCTTACACAAAGCTACATTTAGAGTTGTCTACTGATTTTGAAGACATATTCTGTACTGAATACGTGATAATATCATTTTGGTAACAGACTGGCTAGAAAAAGATTTTCTGAATTGACAAGATAATTAGAATTTATAACAGTGTTTCTATGAGAAAATAGCTCTCATGTTCTAAATAACCAACTTAAGGACCTTTTGAGAACACTTTATAATTTGTAGGCTACCTGTTCATAGACAAATACAAATTCACTTAGGAATGGCTAAATTATATTTTACTAAACTAGGATTAAATAGAGTACATATTCATGATTTTGCCAAATGAATACACAAACCCATAATTTAGGGTTTATTTTTTTTCTTGCAAATGGAAATTAATCCAAGTCAAATATGTGGTGTCCTGTGTCTTCCTTTGCTCTTTGAGCCCATAACTTGGATTGTTTATCTACTCCCAAAAATCTCACCATTGTATCACTCATAGACCTCATGATACTGTAAAATGGACCCTAAATCGATCCCTGGGAGAGCCAGGAATTTTGACTTTGTAGCTATGATTTCCTGCTGATGGTGTACACCAAGTGTTCTCCCATACATTCCAGTCTACATGATTCTCAAAAAGTGTGGTGGAAGTACTCTGTTTTATTAAACATATGAGATGCTAGCTTTACAGGAATAAAGACCTGGCCTTCATCTTTGTAGTCAGTAAGTGGCGCAGAATTTATAGTGCATCACTATGGTCAGCTGTCACTTTTTCCAGAAAACTTACTTAAGCTGGGCGCCGGTGGCTCACACCTGTAATCCTAGCTACTCAAGAGGCTGAGATCTGAGGATCGCGGTTCAAAGCCAGCCTGGGCAGGAAAGACCGTGAAACTCCTATCTCCAATAAACCACTAGAAAACTGGAAGTGGCGCTGTAGCTCAAGTGGTAGAGTGCTCGCCTTGAGCTAAAGAGCTGAGGGACAGCGCCCAGGTCCAGAGTTCAAGCCCCATGACCGACAAACAAACAAACAGAAAAACCTTACTTAATCGGTGCTATGCATTGCTTCAGAAATCTTACAGAAAGGCTTATCAAACTTAAGTGCTTGTTAACATGAAGAAACCGTATCATTCAGAAATGGTAGAATCATATAATCATAAATGTTTCCATTTTCACATCATAACTCATCATCATCAGAGGAAATCTACTCATTTTACAGAAAATAAAAGCCCAGGACATGGAAGGAAACTAGTTAGTTTTCCAACTAGAAACTGGTTCTTGTTTTAAAAAAAGAAAACGCCAAAATACTTTTATTTAGTTTTTTTGTTGCTTGTTTTTTGTTTTGTTCTTGCAAGGAGGATTTCATTTACTTTATAATTATTATTTGTAAAGTGTAGAGTATGATTATAACAATTCGCTTTTTGTTAGTAGAGACAAAGGAATTATTTGAAAATATATGAGCACATTTACAATTTTAAAGTCACTCTAACTTTCCCCCCTTATGCTAATTCTTATAGACCAGTGCTTATAGAATTATACAAAAAGAGCTTTTGATGAGAAGACAAGCTAGAAGTCACTGACATACATCTAGGCCAAATATAATACCCACATACAAACTAACTTCTCCATGATCCATGGTGTATTTTTAAAGTTTATTTCCTTCAGGTAGTTGTACACAGGAGCTGGCATTGGACAGAGCAGTTCATGAATGCAGTGCTTCTTGATCACTGTTAGTCCTTTCCACGGTCACCCACCCCTTCCCTCGCTTTGCTTACTTTTAGGTTAGGAACTAAAGTTTTGCCACTTAACAAAGTGATTTATATATACAGTGCATCGTGATCTGTGTCATCCCTTCAACATTTCCTCCCCTTCTCCCTACTCCTTGTCTTCTTTTTCTCAGTTCTATTGAATCCACAACTCATTCTTGCCCATGTTCTATTCATTTCCCCCATTCATTCTTCTACCCCTCTACTCCTGACTCCCCCTCTTCTCCCCTGCCCCTCACAAGTACCCATTTCCTAGTACTCATTTGTTGGGCTTTTACTTAGTCTTTCTAAAGAACAATATGATTTGCATTCTCCATAGACTCTATTAAATTTCATTTTATTTTATTAATCCATTTCTAACCACTTGGGTGCCAACCAGTGTGCTTACTTGTAGATTGATAGGAATATTCTAGCTCCCACTAATGAGGGAAACCATGCATAGTGTTTTCTTACAACACCCCTGTAATACCATAGAAGAAAAAAAAAACTAATGGTTACCCCCTAATTATCATCAGTAACTTTTTTTTAAAGAATAATCTTTCTGAACTCCAGGCCTAATGCTTGCTCTATAACCTTTCTCAGTGGTACACTACTACTTGAGCCATGCTTTCTGTCCTGCTCTTTGTGCTTTTTTTTTTTTTTTTGAGACAGAGTTCCAAGTACTTTTCTCCTTGGACTGATTTCCAACTGTGATCCTCCAGTTCTAATACTACTCTTTATTAAATGAGAGTGAGGCTGTTGATCCAGACTGCATTTTGAGGAGTCAAGTTGCTGTGGTATAGTCATTGTTGTAGTGCCAGAACGTTTCAAGACTTATGTGTGAGGAAGCCATATTATCACCTGGAGCACTGGATTCAGTTTGATTTGCATATTGTTTGCATAGCCATGCTGTTTTTATGTACTTTTAACTGAGGTAATTTATTTGCTTCATTGCTGTCATGGCAGACCTAAGTCATGACCAATAGCTAGTTTATTGAACTGATTTAACATGTCACTATTACTGGAAGAAGAGCTTGTACGTTCCTTCCCTTGTAAGTGAAACCATGACGAAAGAGTCAACAGTCCCCTCCTCTCGCCATTTTAAAACTTCCATCTTGAAATCACCCGGTATCCTATGTCACAATGTGTCTCCTCCTGATGCCAAGGTTTGTAATCCACTAAGTGATAACTCTGGAAACCTTTAAGATATAGAAGGCAATGATTCAGAGACGGGCTTTCTTTAATGTATCCTTATTACTGCACCATGTGACTATTCACTTTTATTAAAAAATGATTTTTTTAATATCTTTACATAGTTGTACAAAGGAGTTTCATTTCCTCATGTCATTTTATAAGTACAGCGCATCTTGATCAACATAACCCCTTTCATCCTTCTCTCCTGTATTTACTTTCTAATTGAAGTGTGTGGCCTACTATAGCAGCTGTGAAGGAAAATGTCATATTTAGAGTATGCGAAGACTTGAGAGAGAAGATAATAAATTCATCTCAAAAGCTTTCTGCCTTTGAAGAGGTGGTTCATAGCAGATCAACTAATACATAAAAAAGCTTACAGCATTTCAAGATTAGAAGTCTGCTAGTGATATTAGGTGTTTTGGGGGGCATAATTGTTCTCACGTCTAAACAACTCTATTAAGCACAAAGACAAGAAGCATCTGTAAAGGCAGCAGAGAGCCAGCTTCTAGTCCCAATGATGGCAATAAAGGGATCGTGTATGTTCTCTGCAGAGTAGATATGCTGTAACGCAGGCAGCACTAGAGTCTGACAGAAGTAATTTATAAAAACAAACATTTGGAGTCAAGAGGAATACATTCATTGCACTGAAAGAACATGACGCACACATTTGACTGGTTTTTTCCCTCCATTCACAAGTCTTTTGATCAAATGAGAGGTGAATTATCATATCCTTTGAGTCCTTGCTGGTGTCAGTCATGAGAGAAAAATATGTCAGCATCTTGATGTGTTTTACAAACTGGAGAGACATTTATGGGATGAAAAGTAGCAAAGGCCCATCAATTCTCTGTGCTAGCATCTAATATCATAGGACACCACGGCAGCTGACTCTCTCCCACCCTCCTGCTCTCCAAATACAAAGGACTCTTTTCATAAAATATCCCCTATGTGTGCGTATGTGGTGTGTGTGTGTGTGTGTGTGTGTGTGTGTGTGTGTGTGTGGAAATTAATACTGCAAAGAATTCCTCACATAACTTCAGAGAGGCACTTTAAATGAGCTTGAAAAATAATTGCTCTAATATAAATGTATAAGTAACTTGCTGATCTCACAACAAATTCCATATAGCAAACTTTGTGTACGATTATTTCAATATTTAAATCTGCTATATAAAAAAAAATTGAAGTTCATCCATGACCCAGAATCTGTTGGAATCAACCTAAAGGATCAGCCTATTTCAATGAGGGCATTTAAATAGGTTTCATTGCAGTATTGCTTACAGTAATGTAAATATACACGTCCATTTATGTAATATAGTACCATATAGTAGTTAAGAAAGAAGTTAAAATATAGAAAAGACATAATGTAATAATGTAAGCCACGCATGGGTGGTTCATGTCTGTAATCCTAGCAACTCAGGAAGCTGAGTTTGAGGATTGTGGTTCAAAGCCAGCCCAGGCACAGAAAGGAGATTCTTATCTCCAATTAACCACCTACAAATCAGAAGTAAAGCTATGGCTTAAAGTGGTAGAGCATTCGCCTTGAGCATAAAAGCTCAGAGACAGCACTCAGGCCTTGAGCTCTAGCCTTATGACCAGCAAAAAAAAAAATGACATAATGTAACTTCTATCACTAATAAAAATAGATTTCACAGCATTATACACTGGCGTGAAACTACAGCTATAAAATACTATTTATTTGCTGTTTTCTGTTTGTTACTGCTTATATATAATGATGATATATTTATGGAACCAGTAACAGTGGTTCCTTACAAGATGCACTTGTTCACAATGCACTTGAGCCAGCTAGGAATTAGTCCCTGCAAAAGCATTCATGGTAATGTAGAATTTCAATCCAGAACTTCGTGTGGTGGCTTTACCTATAATCTTGGCAAGATGGGAGGTAGAGGTAAGAGGATCATGGTCTAAGGCTAGCCTAGGACTGAAAAAAAGCAAAGGAACTAGAGAGAGGGTTCAAAACATAAAATATTTGCCTAACAAGTGAAATGTTCTGACTTCAATTCCAGTATTAATGACAAGAAGAAAGAAAAGGAAGGAAGGGGGGAGGGAGGAAGGGAGGGAGAGGGGGAGCGAGGGAGGGAGGTTGAAAGAGGGGGAAAGAAATTTAGTCAAGTTCCAGATATCCTTTTTCCTAGCTATATCATCTTGGACACATTAAATTACCTGAGATCAATCTTCCTGTACCTAACTTTCCTTATGGGAGAGATGGGAGTTGAAAGTTGGAGGCTTATATCAATTCTTAGATGTAGTATTATATCATCAATTTCAAATATCTCAAAATGGGTAAAATGAACTTCTATAAACAGAAGAACACTTCACATGTAAAGTGTTTATCAGAAGCACTTACTACATGTTGCTTGGTAAGTCTTGAAATCTTCATTTTATTCCTCTGAAAACTACTAAAATACCAGAGTGTAAAATAAAGAGATAACAGACATATTCAGTCCATTGATAGCTTCAGGACTATATTTCAGCAAATGGGCTCTAATGGCTTCCATTCCATATCTGTACACAGGTGACCTGTTGTCAAACCCTGCATTCAGTCAGCATTGGTGGAGTTAATTTCCTCCGGATTGTCTGTTGAAAATCCAAATTCCATCAGCATTTGACATGGCTGCTCATGCATGCCACTAGAGACCCCTCAAGAAAATCAGCTTTATTAACTAACTACTAAAAATAGTATATAATCCAGAGCACACAAGAACTGCTACCCAGCACAGCTGTGTTTCCCTTGAACCATTTCAAAGATGCTCCAGAATCAATTAGCTCTACTAGTCTATTGTGTCTTATATTTCTATGGAAAGGTCAGGTTAAATTAATTAAGTTTAAATAACTACCACAGTCTGTGTGACACCACTGTCATCCTTCTAATCTAACAGTGTTCTGGGATGTCTGTGCTCCCTAGAATCACAGGCCCAGCAAAACAGGTCACATATTGGGGGCATCTGCTCTTGAATTGATTTCCTTGTGGATCCAAATTCCAAAGTCCACTGCACTTCTGAGACTCCACTTTAAGCTGCAGTGGATGTTTGAGTCCCAGGATGGCTAAGTGAAGGTTCAGATCTCTGGCAGCAAAGCAGAGTACTTGGCCAAGTGTCCTTGCATTCACACTGACCTTGTTCAGTGAACCCGAGGGTGGTGACATCCCAAGTAATAAACTTTACCTTCTTGCTGGGCAGGTCTCTGGAGGCAGGATTATAAATCTGATCCCATGGTACTTAAACCCCCCAGGGGCTCCCCTTCATGTGGTTTTACTGCAAATGGATCATAGAAATTAAACTGAGCTTTAATTGTGTTAACAGTTGTTCTTAATCCTTCCTGGGAATGGGGAAAGGGTGGAAACAAATGCTTCTCTGCTTAATGGGCAAAGGCAGAAAGTAAACAATGATTCTTTGGAAGATTAGTGATCCAACAGAAAGCAATTAGACAAAGAGGAAACATTTAGACAGAAGCTAATGCTTAGTAGCTTGGAGCAGGTTGAAGAAGTGAAGAATTCTATTTCCACATTAAATGGAATCCTTTCAAAGCTTTTGTACTACCAAACAGGAAGACTGAGTTCTAATGATTCCAAGTAATGAAAAAATGAAATAAAATGAATTCTGAGAAGCTGTGTCCTAACACCTATGTTGTGTTCTACCTACAAATTCATAACTGAAAATGACATTGTGTTTCATATATTCCCAGCCCTGAGCAAAAGGCTTGACATAGTAGGTGCTCAATAAATATGTCTTGTTAAATACATTTTTAATTTGATTAATTATGTTACTAGAAAATTCTTGGGCAGACAGTTTCTCTTTCATTTTTTTATTGTAAAGGTGATATACAGAGGAGTGTGCTCCTTAGGTGACTGTAGTCATATAAGCTAAGTAAGGAGTGTCCCCACTTCCCTCATTTTCTCCCACAAATTGTACAGTTCATTTCCAACCTAGTGACTAGTGAGTGTCACTGTTGCATTAGTTCACCCTTTGTCCCACCATTTCTGCTCCCCTCTTTACCTTCTCCAAACAGATAACCTTACATACAAGACAAAAAAGTACAGAAGTCAAAAACAGTGACAAAGGGGGAAACACAAAAAGTAAAATAACCAAAAAACCTCTTGTTACCGTTTCTTGGATTTCATTTCAATAAACATCATTTATATATGATCATATGCACAAAGCTATTTAGCCTTTGTGATCCTCTCCTACGAATATGTTCCTTTGGTCTCAATGTGAATGTTTGGAGTACAATTTAGTCTATCATGTCCAAGTGTAATGGTTTTTGTCTTTTTACAATGATTCATGCTGACTTATAGAATTATAGGCATATTCTAATTACAAATGAAGGGAAACCATGAAGCTATATTGATTTATAACTGGCTTATTTTGCTTAGTATAGTTTTTTCCAAGTCTTTCCAGTTACTCTTTAGTGATCCTGAAATAATCACCCAAGTATTTGTTTATCCCATTTGGCCGGGGTGAATGGAGAAAAAGACTGGGAGGTTCTTCTTTTATATAAGGAAGGGATAAGGCAGAAGAAATGGTCAATTGCCAAATTTAGAGTGTGAAGGTCTAGTTTTTTTCTTTTATAAGATCTTGTTTTGACAAATCACATACATTCTTTTATCTTTCTTCAGAACTTCTGTATTTTCGTTAGCACTGATGAGATGCAAGCCACATCTAGTCTTAACATCATAAAGTGTTGTTTTGTGTAAGTTTGTTTTTGAAACACTATAAGCACCACTTTAAAGTTTACCTATGATAAAGCATCATGCTAGATGTTTTCTTTGGATTTTAAGTTCTCTTCCGCCCAGGACTAATATGCTGAAATCACATGTCAATGACACACGAATGTACAAGTGCAGTTTGGCTTTGTAAATGCTTACTCTTAACTTCCAACCTTCTCTCTTCTGTGGTGCTGGGGGATCTTGTTTTCTGGCCAGACCAGGCCTTCTAAATATGCCCGCCATGACCTGCAGTTATGATGGCAACAATGATGGTAGCAGTGACAAAAAAGACACTGCTGCCACTAGTAGAAGAAACTAGATCATGACACCCAGAGGAAAAGTCTGCCCAAAGGAGAGAGCCACGGGGCAGATTGGGTATCTTCAGAAAATGAGGCAGCAGCATGAGGCCTGGAAAGGTACTGGTACTTAGAACATTGACGTGAACCGTTCAACATGGTGTTTAGGAATGCAACATTTGACAACTTCCAGTGGGACAAATTAAAGCCCCCATGTAGTTTAATCATGGGTAGAAAGCACCTAAGCTACAGTGACAGAGTGAGAGTCAAGGGAAATGGCAGAACTCCTGTGGAAACTCTGGTTCCATTCATAGCTCAGAGGAGTAAGGAAGAAGAACGGATAGGAAATGAGGCATCCATTGACATACATGCTGGAAGTGCTAAGCAGAGCAACGAGGGCAGAAAAAGAAAGAAAAGGCACTCGAATCAGAAAAGAAATAAGTAGCTTATTCATAGATAACATCTTGTTATAGGTAGAAAAATGATACATGTTCCAGGCAAGAAATTATTAGAAGTAATGAGTAAACTCAGGAAAGTGGCTATGTAAAAAATCCCTATGCAAAACTCAGTGGTGTTTCTCATATATTTATATATAATATGTATTATATATATATAGTATATATACTATATATATTATATAGTATATAATATATTACATATATTATATAGTATGTAGTATATATATACCTGTATATATATATACATAATAAGCAACCTTAAAAGAAAATTA